GCTTCTGTTGCCATTTATTTACCTAACTGTTTGCTGCTATGTGTTAAGTGCTAATTGGGTTACTTGTATTTTATCACCCTGCCCTATTCAGACCCGGAATGACCGCATGTCCTCGTCTGTTGGCTGATTAATTTTTAAAATTACTTGATGGGCTAATGCCGCTAATTATTTCAAAGTGTGTTCTAGTGGTTTTAAGCTTGGTAAGCTGGCAGAAAAGAATAGCAACATCCTAAATCCTCTGTCCGGGTCCTTGCAACTTTAGAGTGGCTAATTAAAGTTTTAAGTTTTTCGCTGGAACATCTGAGGGGAGTCGAGCTAATTTTTGGCAGAAACTGCCCCAGCTGTTTGGCCGTTGAAGTATAAAAGTTTTTCAATTTATTTTAGGTAAACATATTTCGCTAAGATCGGCCTAATTAGATTTTTGTGGCCAGGCAGAGAGTCTTAGAAGTTTAGACAACCTTAAATAGCCTAACAACTCAAAAAAATGCAGTTTCTAGATGGATTAAAGAAAAAAAACTTGCAAATAATGTATCCAATTTAAGAAAAGCATAGAAGAAATTTAATGTCCATAAATCAATATTTGCTATATCCACTATATTATCACATTTCCACACAGGTCATAATCAATATTATACAAAACGTCTTTTATGCAAATGTCTACTCGAAATTGTCTTTCAAAGGCTTTCGCACAAATTGTGTAAATTAATGGACAACTCGACATTTTAGCATAAATATAAAGATAAACACATCAACGCCCAGATAACAATTTTGAGTATCATTAAGGACGAATTCAAACCCCTTTAGGGCTAGACAATATCCCTGGGAAAATGCCAGACGCCAACACAAATAGACATAAATTTAAATGGCTAAGGGCCTCAACTTGCAATACTGCATCCCCCCGCCTCATTTTCCCATTTCCCATTTCCCACTCCCAACCCAGAGAGTCTGTCAAAACAAATGTTTGCCAGGAGGAGCACGGAATGCAGGGCAACTGCAATATTGCAAGTTGCAGCTGCTGGTTGCAACCACCAACTGTGACTGTCCTTTGGTGGTTATGTTGATGCGCTCGTGCACGCTGCTGTTGCGATGCCACATAATCAGGACAAGTATCCTGGGTGTGCGACATTCTGCCAGGTTGCATGTGCATTATAATTATTATTTTCCTTGCATTTCCATGCACTGAAACAAAGCAAACTTTAAATTTTTCTTTTTATACTGCTCTCCCTATTTTTCAGTAAAATATTTGTTTTACTTTAAGCTTGGCTAGCCAAACTCTTCAGTATTTGTTTAAAATTTGCATTACAAGTCACGCAAGCACTCAAATATATATAAGGGACGTCGAATCGAGAGCACGACTATACAAAATTATTTAATAACTACTTAAATTGCAGAAAATAAAATGGCTGGATAAGAAGTAGTTAATCCATGTGCAAATTTAAACTTGTTTTATTTGGGTTGTAAAAAAGAGTTGCAAAAATGTATGTTAAAATAAAAAAATAATTCAGTTCAAAGTTATTTAGCTAAAATAAATTTTTAGATATCTTATTATAAGTTTAGGTTCAGTTTGTTTATACAAATGTGATTGGAATCAGCAATTTTTCTGTCTGCAAAGGGAGTTGCCTTTGTTGGAGCTCTCTGGTCGCATTTATTCATCTGGCCTGGCCTCAATGTGCAGGTGACATTACTGCGGAAGAAGAATGAGGCAACAGCAACAAACTTAGCCTTGAGCAAAAGTTGAGCTCTGGCTCCGTGATGATTTATGCACGTGTTTAGTGTGAAAAATTTACATTAAATGCATACATAGTAGCGAAAGTGTTGCCGAGAGAATCCTTTTGCACACTTCTGTGCCCATTTGCTCATGTGGGTGGAGGAGAAGGAGGTTGGTAGGAGGCAGGACTCGTGGTCGGCACAGGAAGTGAAAGTGTGTGTGTGTGTATGTGTGGGGCGGCGACGACTCTTGGTGCCGTATTGGGGTCACTGGTCATTATCAAGATGTACATAGCTAAAGAAATGCCGTAAACTGGGACTGCAATGGGTAAGGGTCCAAGTCCCCACGGCTCCTTGCGCCGTCTTGGCTCATTTGATATGCAGGGCAGATAAAGGCCAACGCGCATTCAGCCCTCAGCTCCTCTATTTGGCTGAAAGAAGAGCGAGCCAACAATGAGGCGATAGTTTAATGGCAGAGCAAACTGTTGAGCAAGCACATCTTCTTTGCCAAGCCATCCGCCGAGGGGAGTTCTTCAAGTAGGAAATCGTTTACATTGCATAAGTAAACTGGTTGGTTTGGCTTAAGTCAAAAATTGAGTGATTTATATTATTGCTGAACTAACGTTTGCTATTTAATGTGAAATCAGTGTGTATTTGTGTTCGCAATTTAAGTTTTACTTACAAATGTAACCTAAGAATAAAAAGGTATATAAATTATCTTTGAAAAATTCGCCATATTAAGCCAAGTTCTTGTACAAATATCTTTGCAAGCGGCTTGCGTTGAAAATTGACTACTTGCGCTAATGAGCTTGCCGGTATTTCATCCCCAAATTGACTTTCTTTGCTCCTGCTAGAAAGATTTGCGGCTTTTTTCTTACCTTCGGCAAAGGAGGTTCCATGACTTCCCCTTGAAGGAAGGCGCAATAATTCGTTTCTCGGCCGGCGGCTTTATCCTTTCACACATTTCACGCCCAAAAGTCGGTGGAAATGGCAGGACACGCCCACCGTCTGACAAACCGCCTTTCAATTTCAGCCGTACATTTTTGCATTGCATACTTTTGAACGCTGCCAGGAACGCCAGGAAAAGCATGCAATTGTTTGCAGTTTTCCCACTCGGCTCCTGCGGCATCCTGTCTGCAATTTACGCGTCCCTGTTTGAGCCTTTGTTGAGGGAAGAAAAAAAAAACTCAAGGAAAATGGGAAATGAAAAGAAATTGCTTCGAAACTCACCTTTGGGACCAGCTCATTCCTTTTTGAGCAGCAGATTTTCACTTTTCTCTCTCGGAATCATGTATGCACATATATTACTCTTTTGGTGTTGGCCTTAAAACAAATTGCATAGACATTTGTTATTTCGGCTAAAGCGGCTTTCAACTTGTTCTATTGGTATTTATTTCCATACCCTTATATACACATTAATGTATGTACCCAACTTTGCATATATACAAGTACGTTTGTCCGATACATTCGTATATTTGCAAAGAAAAAAATTCCGAAAGCTAAAGCAAAAGGAAATTGCATTTTTATAACCTCACTACGATTCCTTTCGGATTTCTTAAGTCCTCTTTATACCTGTTGTTTATTTATTACCTTTTTTTTCTCCATCTGCGTCTTAAATGTGCGCTTTTCTCCGTTTCGTGCTTTTATCTTTGTCTCTTGCATTTTCTTTGCCTTTTACTTTTTGTCCTTTTTTGGGGCTCAAATTTGCTTCTAACGATTTTACCGTCCCATGTGGCCAAAGTGCCAAAGATGTGTACGCTGGGAAAGGTAAAATTTATAATGTGAGTCCTGGTATTTAAAGACAAATTTTATGGCTTTTTAGTTGACAGTCGAGAGCCGACAGCATAATTCAACTGCCCGCAGAAGTAGGCAATGATATTTTTATGGCACTTTGCGGTTTCTTGTTTCTAAGGAATCCTTTTCTAAGTAACGATTAAAAAACTTTGCTCGCAAAAAACAAGCACTTTAACTAATAAAAATTTGTACTTTTTAATTTCAGGTAAATTTTACGATGTTAATCATGATGACGTTCGGATTTAATTCAAGATTAAATGGGTATAATAATTTAAGAAGTAATTGTGTAATGTATCATTTTTTAAATATACGTTTTGTTAAATCGAACATCTTTAAGAACCAATCAGACAACGATTAAGCCACTTAAGTTTTGCCAATCAACAGAAGCAGTTTAAAAGTATTGATTTGCTGAACAAACTTGTTTGGCTTAGTTTAGGAAAAGTAAATAAGCCAAGCCAAACTGTTATGGCTGGTTGACCGCTGACCAAAAGCCATTCATTTAAGAGACATCATAATCAAGTCAGCTGCGACCAACTGATGGTAAGGTCGGGCCAAAGAGCAACTGGAATCGCTATCTATCATGAGTTGCATATACAGAACGGAAATTATTTATTAATTGCTCACACCACCGCACATCAGGCCAAATAAGAAGAAGCGAAATCTGCGCACAATTAAATCGATATAAAGAATTGCACAGCAAACATCATGGCCGGCCGACCAAGCCCACAAAATATTTCATGCGTTGTCGAACGAAATGAATGCATAAATAATTGATTTAATTTTCGTGTTGACTACAAATGAAGCGCTTAAATGAATGGCTGAAGGGAGTGGAGTGCGGTTCATTGGCCAGGAATAGAAGCGTGGCTATTAATATATGCAAATTTCGCATTATCAACGCGAAACAAACAAATAAATGCGTTCTAAAAACCCAAAATAAAAGCAATGTAAATAAGCTGAACAAATTACGTAGGAAAAATTGCGATGCCGACTTAAACGTGACTTACTAAAACACATTATTCCAAAATATTTATTTGTGAACCTTTTAAAGAACCAAATTAAATATATTTTGTTAACAAAGGTTTATAAAAAGTTATAAAGTCGGGATATAAATTACATTAATATAGATTGTTGGTCAAAAGAGTGTAGGAAACCAGTCGGTAATTTCAGTAGTCACTGAAGTTATAACAAACTGAATAGGGAATTGCTGACACTTTTCATTTTTGTAAATTGTGCTAAAATGTGAATATAAATATAAATGAAATGTTTTTGCTTTATTCCCTGCTCTACTTTTCGTTTCTACGTGTCACTGCTTTCATTAATTTTAAATAAATGAGAACGTATGTTGCAAAAAAAAAAAAAAAAAAAAATAACCAAACGGATTGTTTTTTTTTGCTATATATATTTTTTTCCTATTTAAAAAAATAAAATCGAGTCAAGGATTGAACAAACCGCGACATTTAAAGTTGATGCGCATTGGTAGATTAAAAAACAGTTTTCATTGAAACTAAGTATTTGTATTTTTTTTATGGAATACAGCATTTTAATATTTAAATCTTGCGCACATAATAATCATTTATCTTGAATCGACGCATCGGAAAAATGAGGTTAACAAACAGTTTCCTCAATTCGCATCACCACAAGAGACACTATAATAAAAAGTGCAAGACTCAAAAAGTTTGCTTGTCCAAATCATTAACTTATTTAGCTTCGGGTTTTTTGTTAGAATTGGTGCCGTCATTGAAAGTCTGCACTTCACCCGAGGCCCAAATGCAATACACAACGGCAGTGGCGCAGAGCACAGCGAATGCCAGCCAAAAAACGATTCGCCACTCCATCATGGAGGCATTCGGGGTCATAACTCCCACTAGATAGGGCGATATCACTCCAGTGAGAGCACCAATTCCGTTGGTGATCGCCATCAAGGTGCCGGCATAGTTGGGGCTCAAGTCCAGCGGCGTGAGCTTCATTCCAGCATAGTAGGTTCCCATCAAACCCATACAGATCGTGAAGCAGGTAACAACGAGTGCTCGATCACAGCCGGCATAGGAGGCGGCCACCATGAAGACGGCCGGTCCAAAGGCGGCCAATGCTGTCATAACTTTCCTTGTGTTCGTTGTGTTCATCCAATTTCGCTTGATCATCTGATCGGCCACACAACCACTCACAAGCGACATAATCCACATGGTTACATAGGGCAATGAGGAATAGAGCCCGTTGGACTTTATAGAGAATCGCAGGACATCTGCCATGTACTTGGGCAGATATGAGACCATGATGTAGAATCCCCAGTCATGACCAATCTGTGCACTTATTAAGGCATACATCGGTACGTTGGTGAAGATGGCCTTCCACGGAGTCTTCGGTTGATTTTTGTCCTTCGGCGGTATTTCTTGCGCTAGAAACTCACGTTCCGACGGTTTTATGAAGGGATGGGTATACGGACTGCTAAAGCACAGCACCGTGAATATGATGAACCAGACAATGGCTAATATGCCAAAGAAGTAGAACACATAAGGCCAATCCATCGAGTCGAGTATTATGCCGGACAGCAGGTTACCAGCGATACTGCCAACCTGACCGCCGCCGAGAACCAAGGCGCCCAGCATTCCGCGCTCGCTGGCCGGAACCCAGGAGGCCAGCAAAACACTTAGGGCCGGAAAGGTGGTACCCTCACCAAGTCCCATCAGGACACGGAGCACGATCAATGCATCGCTGCCGCCTTCAACGATGCACACCGGTGTGACAACTGTGAAAAACGCAGTTGCCAGAATTCCAAGGCTCAGCGTCCACTTTCCGCCAAATTTATCCGCTAAAATGCCACCAGGCACATGGGTAACAATGTATCCAATGTAGAAGGAGGCCAGGATCAGACCCTGTTTCTCTTCAGACCATTCGTAAGAGCCTCCTTCGCGGGCAGTTGGTGAACTTTCGTCATCTGGTTCGCAGATGGCTTCGCTCTCATGTGCCGCTGAGTAATTCTTCTTGACCACCAACACCGTAATGGCCTGCGAAAGACACACTCGCATCGTATAGGCATTGAAGATGGCGAAGAATCCCATTATGGCCAGAATCCATCGTTGGGGTACAATGAAGAATTTAGATAGTGTTGTGCCCCATTTAGGCTGCTCTTTAGGATCCGCCATTAAACGGTTTTCTTTTCTTTTAAAATACCAGAATTTGGAATTATGTCAAAATAACAATATGCGTTTTAATTTTTTTTAGTGTGCGTTAGTTTTTATGAACTCTTAACAAATGCCTATGTGACCAAAAAAGGTTGTAAATCAACTTTGTTGTCGCTTACAAATGCAATGAAATTACGAATGTCAATATGATTTTTATACCAGCTTCGAAAATGATTAACACTTCCAGGTTAACAAAATATTTAATGAGAGTTTTTTTTCTTTTATATAGATTTCGTATTTTTTTTAGAGCACTACTTATTTTCGGGCTATGAATAAAAGCTTATGATTACTCATGTTTATAAATAAAAAAAATCTTCTGTGTTTTAGGGTTCTTATATTATTGTTTATAATTTTTTTCGGCTCTAAAACACTTAGCTCAGCATATTGAGCATATGTATAACGGTGTGCCCTCGACAAAAACCTACATCCTGTTCCTTCCATGTGCCTGCTTTCACCATCTGTGGGTTTCTTATTCTTTTTTTTTTTGTGTTTACCCGACGACTACTTGGCGGCTATACAGAAGACCCGTCCCAAGATGTCCCTAACAATTACATTTGCCTCAAAATTTATGTGTGTTTTGCAACCTTTTCTTGTTCTTCGCCTCCATCGGCGTCATCTATTGTTTTGAATGTGAGTGAGTCAGTCACACATGTGTCCTCACTTGGTTGAGCAGGATGAGAAGTTCGGTGGGTTTTGACAACCGCAGGCGCAGGTCCTTGCGGTGGCCTAACCAAAGAAGAAGAATAAGAAGAAAAAGAAGTAGAAGACGAAGACGAAGAAGTAGAAGAAGAAGGGCTTCCATTTTCATCATCATAAAGTCTGTTGAAAGGAAATCGATATGGGCAACTTAATCATGAAATGAAGTCGCCGTCAAGTTGTCTTTCATTTTCAATTCCATTCTCAGCACCTCGAACTCCTTCCAGTAGCATTCCTCCTTGCCAACTTACATCCCCGTTGGAGCATTGTTTACCTATCGAGTGCGAAGGGCCAAAAACTTTTCCCTAGGTTTTAGTTCAGTTGAACTCGCCTCACTTCGGTTCGTTTTTGGTTTTGGTTTGCTTCTCCGGCGCGGTTCATTTTGCTTTGCTTCGGCTTTAGCTTGACTGGAATTGTTTTGTTTGTTTGTTTCCATGTCTAAGTTAGCTTACTTTTGTGAAAAACTTTTTCCTGCTATCCGCTATGGCTTATGCTTTCAATCACCGCTCCGCAGCAACGATACTCTGGCGCCCTCCACGCTTTTCCCCTGTTGCTAACATTTTTTGTTCATTTCCGTTTCGACTTCCTTTGGAGCTTCGTCAGGTTTTATCCGTTCTAGACCAGAAATGCAGGTCAGGTCAGTTCGGTGCAGTATTATATTAATTTTTCCTCTTTTCCCTCGTTTTGGGGTCAAACGCCTTTTTACTGCTCCACGGATACTAACAATAATTGTTCATACTTTTTAAACTTACATAAAAAGTTACACAAACTGAAATTACACTGTAGTCAATTAGTTAGCTTGAAGAAAAATGAGTTAATTTGTATTTATTTAATTCAAACATTTCATTGCAAACAAAAAGGTATTGATTACTTCAAACAAATCACTAAATGTGACATCAACACGTAATTATTAAAAACAAACAAACGCTCATAGCTTGTACCTTAAAAAAAAAAACATGTTCATTTGTTTGTTAACATCTATTTACCTTCCTCATTGTTGCAACCAAGATTAATAAATATTTGCTTTGTATTCCGAGTTTCTCTGCTCTTTTTTGCATAGCAAAGCAACAAATCACTTTAAAAACGTCAATCCGTTACGATTTGGTTTTACGTAACCAGAAAAAATCGAAAATAAAACTTAATCTGTCAGAGGATGTGAGGTTGTTAAGTTAAAATGTCAATAGGATCGAGGGTGTTGTCATTCCTGAGTTTTGTACTTTATATATCGACCCACTTTCACTGGGTAAGCCCTTGCGAAAAAAAAAGAATCCTTCAATTATTCTGCGCATGCCACGCCTCCCCCTGTCCGCCCTCTTGCCACCCACTTACCACCCACTGACTGGACAGTAACTGACGTTGAGCAAGGTCCGCGATAAAAAAATGTATGACAGCAAAAAGCCATGGCAGGAGAAATATTTTATGAGGCCGCATGCATTTTTCATGTTATTTAAAGTTCATTAAAAAAATATGTCAGTCACAAGAAATGGAGAAAATTATGGAAATAATTGCTGACTGAAATGAAATATTTTGTAAACGTGTTTTGTTATGTATATTTGTATTTTAATCTTACTTTTCAGCTGGTATCTGGTAAAATTCGAAAGGAGATTGAATGTATAAACCAATGCCGAAAATACAAAAACCAGCATAGCATATCTATACTCAGACAGATATTAAATGCTAAGTTCATTTTTTCACTAAGTACACTTTACGTATTTATTTAACTTTACCAGTCCTTTCTTTAATTTGCTTCATTTTTCGGTTTTTTCATTATTTTTTTTAAGAACAACGTTTTGGTTTTAAGAGCAAGTACTGCAGTCAATTGTTTAATACGAAGTATAGTTAAAAAAATATTTCCTTCCGTTTTTCCTTAGCAAATGTTTGATAACATTAATGTTCATAAAAATTTCGGGGATAAATGAAACTTTTTCTTTGTGTTTATTATCAAGGCATTTCCTTTGCTCGACAGTATTTTAAACTTTATTCATGCCTTTCCATGTCACTGCTCTGTCCGTATATGTTGTTTGTTTCAAGAGAGGGAAAAATAAAAATGGAGAAGTTATTATTTTCTGTTTTGGTTATTTTCTTCTTGCTGACGATTTTGGATGCTAAGTGAATGTTGCCATATATTTTCTATTTTTTTCTTTCTTTTTTTCCTTCTCATATTTGTACAACCAGCATATTTTACCCAGTTCAATCCGAGGAACCTTGTTGTTTCCTTTCGTCCTTGGCCTGCAGAAATTCTTGAGTTTTGTGATTGAAAGGCATTTTGGTTGCCTTAGTTTGGGTTGGCATCGCTGCGAGGCTTGTAATGCGTATGCTCAACCATTCCGTTGCATGTCACATTGTTGCCCGATATGCCTGCAACATAGTTGTGCAAAGCTTTTTGTTCTCTTCCACTCTGCTGATAAGTGTTGCAACGTGCAACTATTAAATAGTTTCCCAGCTGCCATTTCCAAGTTTCTTGGCCCATGGCCCATTCTTCAGGAACTTCTTGTGCCACTCAGATGGCAAGTTGCGAACGGAAAAATGGGTCTAAAGTTTAAATCGGGGCCGATTTTGTGATCTCAGCGTAAGTTATGTTTTCTTATATGTACTCCAATATACAAAAGCTTATAAAAATAATATGGTTCATCAAGACCCTGATTAAACTTCAACAATTTTAATTGGAAATGATTATTTTATGGGGAGGAGAAATTCTTAATTTAATTGCTGAAATGCCTACAAGCTTACCATTTCATTGCTGCCACAACTGCCACAGGTTACTAATTAAGAAATTTAATAAGCGTTCAAAATAATATTAATTTATTTTGGAGCATCTACCTAGAGCAGAATATGTTTCGAAAGTAAATTGCCAATCATAACTTACGAATACAATAATGAATGCGAATGAATCATTACCTGTCTGTCATTTAATCATCGCTTTGGTCTAGCATTTAACTTAAATTAACAAACATCTATAATTGTTTTCATATTTGAGTTTGTTTGCCTACGTCTCAAGTGGATGTGGCTGCACTCAATGGATTTAGTTGGTAACTGCAACGGTTGCCGTGATTGTGTGTACTTCGCTGTTGTGGTTTTGAAGCTCATTAAAATTTTGGTTTATGAGCTCAGCGTCGGCATTTTGAATATGTCTGGTATAGATTTCGGGGGTTAATATACAGCTATTCGTCTCACTTCAATGAACTCGTTAAAATGGATTTTGTTGTTAAACCGTTTGTAAAGCAGCGCTAATAAAGTCTCACGAACTGTTAATCTGAATGTTTGATTACATATTCTGGAGACATTATAAATTTAATAGATAATATATAAAAAAGAAACCTTAATAGATAGACTTACATCTAAAAATAAATTCCAGATAAATGGAAACGTTTTAAAATCAACTGGTCACTTTGCTTTAATTTAATTTACTGGTCAACTCTTAAAATTCCAAGCCAAAAATAACCGAATCGATAATTTAATTAAGCGAACTACAAAAAGCTATAGATGCGACAGCATCCTCCGCAAATTGTGAACTGGTGAAGCAATTAGTGAACAAGTTACGATTGAGGTGGGGTCGAGTTCCTGGTTATTCCAATGTTCATATCCGCAGAAGTCCGGTGGGAGCTTTTATTCGTGAATCCGCCCACCCAAATTACTAACACATCAGTTGGTATTGTCTTTCGCCTTTGTCTACGGAAATAGCGCAGCGGGAAAATCAAACTAATCAGTTGAATGATTGGCGTCGACAGCCGGTGAACAATGGCCGCGTTGGACGTCCTTTCGATATCCTGTGAATGAATGTTGTTGCTCGTTTCAGGGAAATTTTTCCACCTTTTTTCGCATTTAACGAGATTTTGTCTTCTCCTCCATTCCCTTCGTATGGAAATTGGTCGATCGGTAGGGAGGACATTCAAAGGGGGAATGGAACAGCTCAAATTACTTTATAGCTTGCTTCATTTAGTTTATAACAGGCAGGGTGTTTTTTTTTTTCTATCTTCACTTTACCTCATCCACTGGCATTTTTTAATTTTCCGTAATTTGAACCTGCCTGGACATCAATTATATGGCTATCTTGGCCGGACTGGCTTTAGCCTCCTTGACCAAAGTGGATTAGCTTTGTGCTGTGAGTGGCGGAGCGCTACTTCAAGTTAATTTGTTATGCAAAAATTATACCCACAGCTTTGGCCTATTAATGGTAGCTTTTGTGGCTACACTTTCAAGGGGAGAAATCGCCTTAAGTGAATGCGGGTCAAGATTTCAGGTTATGGTCTGTTATTAAAATCGTTGTTGCTTACACTTTCGTTATGGTAAACATATTAAGTGGATGTATTAGCTGAGAGTTTATTGGATACTTTAAATTCTATAAATATTCATGTACATTGGTATTCGATTACTTTAAAAAAATACAACCAATAATCTATGCAGTTTGAGTGTTTGTGAACAAATTATACGTGGCGAAATATTTGCAAGACAATTTTTTAATCGCAATTGTGTTAAAAGAAGCAAAAAAGAAAATCTTTAATTTCCATTATGAGTTTTGCTCGCCCACGGCTCTAAGCTACTTTACTTTTGGGAAAATTATTTTCTGTTCATACGTGCTAAATTACGCAGTGCTTAGCTTTGTGGAAAAATATTTCCTTTCGACCCAATTTCCATCTCTTTTCACTTACCTAATGAGAAGCTTTTAGGGCTAAACAGGCGAAAAAAATAGCTTTGAAAGAGGACTATGCTGGAGCATCCAGAACTCAGTCGCTCTGACCGCAGCTAACACAAAAACCCATACACAGAAACACACTTGGGTGCTAATGCCATTTTGACGTTGCCTTCGGTTTTTACGCGCTCCTGTTTTGTAACGCCCAAATGTAGACTACACTTTAGTTGTTTCACCGCAGAACAGGGCACGCCCATAATCCATAAGTTAAGCTCAACGGTTTGTTTGTGTGGCGGTCGCCGGCTGTCGGTTGGCTGGATCCTCCATCCCCCCAATACTCCCCTCATTTCCCCGGTGCCCATTTTGTGGTTTGTTCTCAGCCAAAACATATACAAAATCTCCCCCAAAAAAACAAAAATTGCCAACAACCCAAATCACTCGCCTCCAGAAACCAAACTAAAGGGTCAAAGTTACTTTAAACGTTGCCACCGACAGGAGTTAACAAGGCTGGGTGTTGGCTGTTTGGCTGTTTTGGCTGGACGGGCTTCAACTGGACCGAAAAGGAGGCGTATGCTTTGTTGGCAATTTATGATTATTTTTACTCGCATTTCGTTCTTTTTTATCCGCTATCTACTGACCCGCATTTTCGGACGCACGCCCCACAAAAGGGCCTCAAATTTTAAATGTGTGTGTGTGGGTCAGACTAAATATTTTCATCACATGGGGAATTTCGGTATTCAACAACAATGATTATGTGCTAATCCGGGGACCATTTGCCGGCACTTCTATTAAAGATATTACCAAGTTTATAATGCCCTTTAAACTCTGTAATTATAATTAGTGCATTTTGTAATAGTTAAATGTTCTGAGAGTTATGAAAATACAAATTATTATTGTGTCGTACTTAAATTTAATTTAACATGCTCGAAAGCATTTTCATAAATTACAATTTTATTGCTAAACTCCTGACATTAATTAAAGAACCTGATACATTCCTATGTATTCCTGTATATCAATTAAATTCATAAATTCATAATTTGATTGATAACAACAAATTT